TATGTGCGTTGATGTTAAATACATAGGTTTCTTGACGTTGGCTGCCCCCTCTTCATTTCGATTACTCCCCCACACCCACATTTCTAGCAGTAGGGGAACGACAACTTCTATGGTTATTTTCAACAACAAATAATTCCGTCGAATTTCGCAAAATAATTCCTTTAATGTAGGTGGCACAGAGGCGGTGGGAAAGGCGGCGATTTGCCTCCGCATCCCCACCCAAAATGAAAGTCCTTGGCATGTGATTGTAATATTTATGAAACTTCTCTTTCTCTCGCTTTCTCTCGATATCTTCTCCACAGCAAAATGAGCAGCTCCGAGGAAGTCTCCTGGGTTACCTGGTTCTGCGGACTTCGCGGCAATGAGTTCTTCTGCGAGGTAAGCTATAATATTAACACGCACACGCGCATGTATATATGTATATGTATTTGGACATTATTAATCTGGTAATTCCCAAATATTTCCTTGTTCCATGCGGTTACCTAAGAGCGCGCGCACACTCAGCCACAGCCATGGGCGGAGATATCGCGAAGCGCCAAGCATACATTGTATATGCATTGACTGTTTACAGTAGAGGCACGCTAAAGTGCATTAATTGAAAACAATTTCTATTAAGGAAAAACATCAGACATACTAGACTTTAGAATTCTAATTGCTCTGTACCGCTCCCCGCTGCCCGTCGTCCGCCAACAAAGTACAGTCTTCATCAATATTCTTAGTATAGACGACTCGACTGTAATTCAATCACAGTACATTATGTCGACGATATTCTGAGGTAGTGTTAATAATACGTAGCTATTATGAGTTACGTTTATATAGTCTTAACTGGAAATGGCTCGAACGCCAAGAGCAGTATCGAGTTCTAAAAGTGTTTTGTTAAGCAGCGATCGATCTGAACAGCTAAACGAAGATATCACATTTAGATGATTCTGATTATAATTAATTATATGTATATACATTGCAGGTCGATGAGGATTACATACAGGACAAGTTCAATTTAACTGGTTTAAATGAGCAGGTGCCCAACTATCGTCAGGCCTTGGACATGATATTAGATCTGGAACCGGGTAAGAGCGCTAAGCTTTAGCAAACTTCTTTGCAAAATATGTGTGATCAAATATTCATCTGAACTTTTTAGAGGATGAACTTGAAGATAATCCATTGCAATCGGATATGACCGAACAAGCAGCTGAAATGTTATATGGGCTCATACACGCTAGATATATATTAACAAATCGTGGCATCGCTCAAATGATTGAGAAATATCAAACTGGCGATTTTGGACATTGCCCACGTGTCTATTGTGAGAGTCAGCCCATGTTGCCTTTGGGTACGTACATTAAGTTGGATATTATGGATGGATATCTATATGTTTGTATATTAATATGTGCATATATCTTTTGCTCCTCTTTGCATCGTGCTCAGGACTGTCGGATATACCCGGCGAGGCAATGGTGAAAACCTATTGTCCCAAGTGCATTGATGTTTATACACCAAAATCGTCGCGTCATCATCACACTGATGGCGCCTATTTCGGCACTGGTTTTCCACACATGCTCTTCATGGTGCATCCCGAGTATCGCCCAAAGCGTCCTACTAATCAATTTGTTCCACGGTAAGCATCCAAAACTCTTTCCATTCCATTAGCAAAGCAGAATATATAGTCCATCAATTTGTTGGTATGTTTATTAGAGAATCAGCCTAAATTATACTAATTGCTCAGCAGCAGTTAGTCCTAGAAGTATGTCCTACTATATTCGAGTATTATATTGCCTTGAATACCTAAAAGTTATTGTTTAAAAGCTCAAACTCTAAAATGTTAGCTAAATTCCTAAACGTTTTACTGTCGTTAGTATAGTTGTATTCAGGACTATTGTTCTTTATTACAAAGATTGTTTTAAATAATCTTTTGCTCTTATCTGGCTATGTCAACTGAGATTATATTGAAGTTGTACAGAAGAGATAAAGATAAAAAGAGAGATTATCATTACACCAAGGCAGCCTTAAGTCTTAAACGTTTTACTGGCTGTTCGCGAGTTCTCTTATAATTGCGACGAATATTCTTAAAACTACGATATATAGCTAATTGCTTTCTCTTTCTCTTTCTATTCCATGTGCCTACGATCGATGCTCACCTGCCGCCAATATATATCCATATATAAACTATCAACCTGTATAATGCAGTCTGTACGGCTTTAAAATTCACAGCTTAGCTTATCAAATTCAGCTGCAGGCAGCAGCCAATTTCAAAATGCCACTACGAGCGGTAAATTTAAAATGAAATTTTTTATTAACAATTTTTTTTATTGACTAAAAAAACAAAAACAAACAACAAATTACATTAAATTCACTTGAAAACATGCAATAACATACAAAAAAGAATCCTTCAACTAAGCATATATGTATACAT